ACAGACTGCTGAATACACTCACACAGACTGCTGAATACACTCACAAATACTGCTGAGTACATACACACAGACTGCTGAATACGCACACAGACTGCTAAAAACATACTCACAGACTGCTAAATACACACACTCAGACTGCTGAATACACACACACAGACTGCTGAATACACACACACACACACCTGCTCTCAGGACTCAGGTTCTGCTGCTAATCTTCCATCTGCTTGTCCTGTAGTTCCTGTTCCTCCCACGCGGATTTTGTTAGTGGAGAGGGCAGGGACATGCAGCAACATCCCATCTCAGCCCTCTCCACACAGCTCTAGCACCAACAAGTTTTCTTAGTACAGCCTTAGAGCACTGCACACCCTAGTGGCTGGGGCCGATATTGCAGCACGTTCTCTTCAAAGAAAATACCGGCAATTGTGCAGGTAATATACCGGCCAAGTAGCAACCTTACCATTCCAGGGTACTCTTTTAAACTATTTTAGAACAGTTTGACACTTACGAAGGTCCCATTATACACAGAGCATTTAGAAAGTGTTCAGACACTGCCATTATTTTCCCATTTACATAGACTTCTGCTATCTTTGGTTAATTGTTGTTGTTTTTCACATCAATCTTCACTCAAAACCCCATAATGACAAAGCAGAAAACTGTTTTGTTTTTTTAACTGTACAAATTTATTAAAAAGAAAAAGAAAATCTCACATTGACAAGAGCATCCCCTTAAAGTCCAATGACTGCATTCACACATAGGCCTAAATGTATAATTTTATCTGAATTAAATACCCATCACACACAGCCAATAAACCCAGCACAAATATCACATACAACCAATACACGCATATCACACACTAATACACCCATTACAAATATCACACACAGCCAACACATAGCATACATATCACACACAGTCATCACACCTATCACATACACAGACTACACAAACATTACATCATATTATAGTAAGATGTATTAGAGTGGAGCTCTGGTATATAAAATGCACATTACTCTGCGTTTTATAGTAAGGGAGCTTTGTGATACACTAATAGACACATTATTTGGGGTTGTATTGTTGTGTAGTGTATGATATTGTCACAGAGCTCCACATTACTGGGAGTTTTATTGTTGTGGAGCTCTGTGATAAATGGAGAAGCAGCGTATTACTACAAATTTTTATTCCGAAGAGGTCAAGGTAAATAAGTATAATCCAGAGCTCCAAAGCAAAACCACTCACAGTATAATGTGACATACTTAGTCTGCTCCTCTGTAATGTATGGGAGGCAGTCTGGCACTTCTGAAGCCCATGGAACAACGAAGTAAGGGGAGTGGGCCTTGACAGAGCCAGGAGTGGGCAGGTGCAGTTAGTTAGGGGTTGGTTTAAGCTAATGGAGCTTGGGGGTGGGATTAAGGGGGTTAAAATAGCGGCCATCTTAGAGAGTGGCCATTCTAATCAGAGCTTCACTTACTTGTTAGTTGTGACAGGTCTGTGTGGTTCTTCTTTTTTCTTTTTCTGCAGGTCCATGGCGTCCCTGGAGGAGATCCTGGCCGAAGTGAGGGCAGCTGTGAAAGACCGAGGGCTGGCCTGGCTGCATGAGCAACTGGGGGCTGCAAGTCCCACTACAGCCCCGGCGGAGCGCAGGACGGTGCGAAGAGCACGGCCGCCCCAGCGTTTGAGCCCGGGCATGGCGCCCGCTCCACGGCATCGGAGGAGCCCGTCGGCGCCCAGTCAGGAGGCAGGAGGGTCGGAGGTTACCGGGGAACGGCCGGCGCCGCCTGTGCGACACGGCGCCAGTCGGGCGAGGACGGCCGCAAAGCGTGGGCCTGCCGGAAAGTGCGCCCCACACAAGATGGCGACGGGCAGCATGATTTTACCGGAGGAGGGCTCCAGCATGGCGGGAATGGCGGCCGGGATGGCGGAGGAGCGCGTGGATGGCGGCACTTTGCTGAGGCATCCCGGTGAGTCTATTCTTACCACTGTGGGGCAGGGGACTGGCGGGACAAAGGATAACTCTGCACAGGCAGCCCCCCAGCCACTCAGGGGTGGCCCGGTCAGCGGGATCGGTTCTGGGGCGGCCTTGGAAGGGGCCAGGACTGGGGACAGCGCCAGGCATGGGAGTGACGGGCGACATGATAACAGCAGGGTCGGGCAGAGAGCGGCAGGTGTCCCCTCGGGCTGCCAGGGGGGGCAGGGTGCCTCTGAAGAGGATAAAAAAGACGCAAAGAAGGAGGAAGAGGAAAAAAGGCGGAGGTATCGTAAGATACCGAAGACCTTCGGGAATTGGCTGAGGGCATTCTGCATCCTGGCTAGCGTAATCGGGGAAAAAAGACCAGGGAACTGTTCGCAGCTTTTCTGCTACTTAGATGGGATAGGTGATGCATATCGGACATATGGGGGCTTGGCATGGTGGAAGTATGACGAGCAGTTTCGTCAACGCTTAGCGGCCAACCCTAACATGCGGTGGGATCAGATGGACCTGCCGCTATGGATGAGGATTATGATGGCGCAGCCTCAGGCATGGCTGTGCCAGCTGGACAAAAGAAGGGCCTATGTTGGACATACAACGAAGGCCAATGCAAGTGGGGTACTTCATGCCGGTTTAGGCACGAGTGTTCGGGCTGCGGAGGGAATCACGGAGCCAGCAGATGCTTCAAGAAAGGTAAGCTTAGTGCCGGGGGGGGGAACCGCGGGGGTGGCGGCCACCGCGGCTGCAGCTGGGGGCGTCCCCAGTGAGGTTAGACACGATGTTGCCTTGGCTAAGGCAATACGCTAACCAAGAGGATGCGGCGTTCTTGTGGCGGGGTTTTAGGGAGGGCTTCAGGATTCCCTTCACGGACAGGGAACCGGGGGCGGTTTGCGCCAACCTTAAGTCTGTACGGGAACGCCCAGAGGTAGTGTGGGATAAGCTTGCTAAGGAGGTCCTCTTGGGGAGGATGGCGGGGCCGTTCCCGTACCCGCCACTAGCGGATTTGCGGATATCCCCACTTGGAGTGGTCCCCAAGAAAGAGGCGGGCAAATTCAGGTTGATTCATCACTTATCGTATCCTGAGGGGACTTCGATAAATGATGACATCGACGCGACACTCTGCTCAGTATCTTACACATCATTGGACAGAGCAGTCGAGTTGGTACGGAGATCTGGGTGGGGAGCGTTAATGGCGAATGTGGACGTGGAGGCAGCGTTCCGGCTGCTTCCCATACACCCGTCATGTCATCACCTCTTGGGGTGTTGTTTTGAAGGGGGCTTCTTTGTGGATTTGTGCTTGCCGATGGGTTGTTCCATATCGTGCGCCTATTTTGAAAAGTTTAGCACTTTTCTGGAATGGGTAGTGCGGCGGGAATCGGCCAGAGGCACGGTTGTGCACTACCTGGGCGATTTCTTATGTGTCGGCCCTCGCGGCTCAGACCGGTGCAAGCAGATACTAGGGGTGTTCCAATGGGTGGTGCAGACTATGGGGGTTCCTTTGGCTGAGGACAAGACCGTGGGGCCCACCACGTGCCTCAGTTTTCTGGGTTTGGAAATCGATTCAGAGATCGGGGAATGTAGATTACCGTCGGACAAATTACAAAAACTGAAGGATTTAGTGCACACAATCGGGAGAGCGAGGAAGGTGACGCTAAGGGGATTGCAGTCTCTGGTGGGGAGCCTGAACTTTGCATGCAGGGTCATACCCATGGGGAGGGTCTTCTGTAGACGGTTAGCGCGAGCGATGAGCGGGATACGGATGCCGTCACACTACATCAGGTTTCCGCGGACATGAGGGCGGACTTAGTAGTGTCGGATCGTTTTTTGAGGGATTTCAATGGCAAGGCCTTTTTTCGGGACCAGGTGGTGTCTTCGGAAGCAGTAGGTCTGTTTACGGACGCTTCTGGCAGCGTGGAGTTCGGGGCATATTTTTCGGGACAATGGTGTGCCGAGGCATGGCCCGAAGCGTGGAGGGCGAGCCCATTGATCAAAAATCTGGCATTTTTGGAACTCTTTCCTGTTGTGGTTGCGGTAGCATTGTGGGGAGCGGAGTTAGCGAACAAGCGAGTCGTGTTTTATTCGGACAATATGGCTGTGGTGCAGGCAATCAACAGTTTGTCGGCATCTTCGCTTCCGGTCTTATGCTTACTACGACAATTGGTGCTCCTCTGCATGTCTTCCAATTAAGTATTCAGGGCTAGGCACATTCCGGGATTCTCAAATGTGGTGGCTGATGCGTTCTCTCGTTTTCAGTGGGATCGTTTTCGGGGAGCAGCGCCAGAAGCACGGGAACACGGGCAGGCCTGCCCAGACGAGATGTGGCGACTCGGGACATCGTGCTTGGGGAATACATAAAGAAATCATTGGCACCGAGCACGTGGTCATCTTATGCTAAGGTTTGGAAGGAATGGGAGGAAACGGTAGAGGAGGTAGGTGGGGACCTTTCGGCAGGCCATAGATTGGATGTCTTTCTATGGTTGCTGTGCCGTTTATTTGCAAAGAGGGCTTCACCGGCCATGGTAGACAGGCATATGTCCGCCTTGGCTTTCTGGTTTAAATTCCACGGGTGGGAAGATTTGACGAAACATTTCTTGGTTCGTCAGGCGGTACGGGGTTTTCGGAGGGGAAAGGCGTCGACGGACGTTAGGAGGCCGGTGTCTTTTGCGGTCTTACAAGGTCTAGTGGGAACGTTGCCGGGGTTATGTTCATCACCATTTGAAGTGGTACTGTTTTCTGGAGCGTTTGTTTGGGCATTCTTCGGGGCATTCCGGATTGGTGAGTTAGTCAGCGCTAACAAGGCAGGAGTTGGTGGCTTGCAGCGCGATGATGTGGAGGTTAAGAGCGATCGCGTGCGGATTAGGTTGGGCCGATCGAAAACTGATGTTTTCGGCAAAGGCTGCGCTGTGGTGCTGTTCGAGTTGCCGGGGTCAGGGATGTGCCCGGTGGCTTGCGGCGCAGGGTACTTAGACATCCGTCCAAACGTCGGCGATTGTTTTTTCTTACACGCCGACGGCACGGCGTTGTCACGGTTTCAGTTCATTCAGATTTTTCGTTTAGGTTTAGTGAGGATGGGCCTGCAGCCCATGCAGTTTGGGTCGCACTCGTTCTGTATTGGGGCGGCTACGGAGGCGGCACGCTTGGGCCTCGGGACGCATGGATTGGGAGGTGGGAATCCATGCAGTTTCGCTCGTACGTTAGGCCCGACGGGATGGTGGAACTTGGAGAGGACAAAAGGCCGGGACAGGTGGGCAGTGGCACTGCTGTATAACTAATTTTGTCTCTTTTCAGGTAGGAAGGTTTGGTTGATGGGCCACTCATACGTTTATTGGGCACAGAAGAGGGCTGCAGTTCGGAAACAAGGAACACAGCTGGGCTTTCCTCTGGAATGGGCGGTCTTATCCTGGTTTGGTTTTCGAGGTTTTAGTTGGCAGAGCTTGAGTAATGTATTATTTAGGAAAGTGGCAAGTGGTCCAGTCCCGGATGTGGTAGTGGTGCACGGCGGGGGGAACGACTTAGGGCTGATTCCCCAACGGGAATTGTTGCGGAGAATGAAGAGGGACATGGATCGGCTGCGGGAGCTGGTCCCTGGCGTGGTGGTGGTGTGGTCTGAGATGGTGCCTCGTTTTACATGGCGGCACGCCAGGGATCCAGCTGCGGTGGCACGATGCAGGGGGAAGATCAATAGGACAATGGCAGTTTTTGTCAGTCGGATGGGGGGAGTAGTGGTGAGGCACCGGGAACTAGAGGGCATGTTGCCAGGTTACTTTAGGAGGGACGAAGTGCATCTGTTGGAGGTAGGGTGTGACTTGCTGAACTTGGGGTTTCAGGAGGGCATAGCCCGAGCCTTGTTTCAGTGTGGTAGAGGTTCGCACATGGTCTTAAGGGAGTCAAGACAAGTGCTGTGGCGGAACAGGGCGTGGTTAAGTTGGAAGTTATCCGGGAATTAGAACTGTACAGGCCAGGGTCTAGGCTGAAGTAGGCCAGACGGTGTCATGTGTTGGTAGGTTCTAGCTCTTCGGTGGCGACGAACCTGGGGGTGTAGGGGTGTCTGGGTACACCCCTACAGTTATCATTATGATATGGGGCCTCGTTGGTAGGCCGGGTGTTTACAAGTTTATTGGTAATTGATGTTAATTATTGTTCATGTGGTAGGGTCATTGTCAGGGGATTGTGCGGGGTGATAGTAAATAATGTCATTTTGAAAATGACCCTAAATATGTTAATTTATTCATATTAATAAAGCTGTGGACGTTATACTCCAACAGTATTAAACGTCTCTGTGTATTATTTAAAGTTAAAGTTTATAGCACATGCCGAATAACGACAGTGCAAATGTCATGGCCTGCACTTCTATTGGCTGCAGACCATAAGTAGCTGTCTTCCGAGATCAGGATAATCAGAGCGCTGCCACAGATTACCACAGGATGCTGCAAGTCCCTGAGCTTGCGAGACAGTTATGCATGGTCTGTACCCAGTGGAGGGGCAAACCAAATTCAGATCAGCATGCCCCTCTCCCAACCAGGTAACATCAGGAAAGGAGGAATGAATATTTGTTTTTAAATCATTATTAATTTAATAAATCCCCTATACAATCACTACACTCCTATACACACACTATACATGGATGACAGAGGGGGGTAGGGGTGAGGGGCCTGTGAAGATTTTTCGCACAGGGCACCTAAAGGCCTAAGGCCGCCCTGACTAAATAAATAATAATTAATCAAATGGAAAGGAAAAAAAAACGAGTATATAGAAAGACAAACAGCGTCTGGAAACTTTGCCTGAATCAGGTAGAGGCAGCACCAATAGAAAGGCTCTCGTTCTTGTTTTTTCCAACAGACAAATAGAGATGCCAAATAAGCTGGTAGCACTAGTGTCATGTCTGCTAACAGTTTACTAATAGTTCACATTTGGTTTTGTCACTGGAACCATGCATAACAAACCCCTGGCCAATGATGAGTTGAGCAGCATTTGAATGCTGTCCAATATTTTTCGAGCATCAAACAGCTGCAGTTATAAACTTAAATGAGTTAGTAATATACAAAATATAGGTTGTGCCAATAAGTCCACAATTGCTGGAGTCTCTTTTCAACTGGTATCCATCCTTCAAATGGTGGGTGTAATAGCACCCCGAGTAGGTAAGGGGTTAACACTGCCAAAGCTGTTCCTTTTTCCGAACGTGATGTCGGCTAAAGAACACTCCTAAGTGCCAAACAGCAAACACACAAATTATCCCCCCAAGTACGAGACGAGGCTCTATATTGAGGGTCAAGCAGGATCTGTTTAATGGGGGCTGCATGTCAGCCTTTTAAGCAGGTTTTCAAGCAAGGGACACTCCCATAGGGACCTTGTGGAAAACTGAGACAAGTTTTACATTAACCAATCACATGCATTTACAGTATACAAACACTCCCACATGAACAGTTCAACTCTTCCTCCCTATCCTGGAGATAATTGGGTTAAGTGCTAGAAGTAACTCAATTACCTCCAGGGACAGAGAATATCCTCCATTTTACAGTAACAGCAAAAAAATATATATTTCCAAATATACCGAACGGAACCTACACATTCAACGTATCCCCAGATAGCTTAGATCTAAGCGCTCAATATAACCGAATAGCGCTCAGATCCCATATATGCAGTTCAATCACCATGGAGTTAAAGTCTTGGGCATTGTATGTTCGATGAAACGAATGAGTTCCATGGGTTTGCAATCTGGTACAGTTCCCTTTGTGCATTGTCAATTTACTGGACATCACGGCGTTCGTATGAACCTTGAACAGAACGATGAAGGGTCGGTGACTTTAGCGGTGTTCGTGGGAAGCAGTGTCCGAAATCAGTTCCATGAGTTTGTCGTCGAACACCGCTGGGTGTTTGACTGTCCAAGATGGCAGCCGCCACGTGTTCGTTCATACGAACGGCGACAGTTCAGGAGTTGGAAGTGTCTGCGGTTAACAATGTTAATAAGGTCAGAAAGGTTAACGAGCAGCACACTTCCCTGCTGGGTGGCCTGCCATTTGGTAGTTTATTTGTATTTGGGTGAATGTAACCAGAACCATATGAACAACCGGCAATAACCGAACAAACAGGCGAAGCAAGGTGAAATAATAGTAATCCAAAGGCAGAAAATAACCAATGATGGTGCGGAGCGTATGTGACTAGGTGCAAGACATACAACAATACAATTGTGGACTTATTGGACTTTACATTGGTGCAACCTATATTTTGTGTATATTGTTTTCTCTATATCTTTCAGTAAGGGTTTCAGGGTAACCCTTTCTATTAGCGTTTGAGTGCTTGCTATCATATCTATTCTCAGTTGACACTCTATCTGTGTATTTTTTTTTTAAATTAGCTAGTAGCCTGAAAAGGATTTTCTATAACTGGGAAAAAGTTGAGTCATGAGCCAAGCTCACATTACTAATATTACTAACTTAGTCCAAAATGAGCTCCATGGCAGCCCATAATTCTCATCCCTGGGCTGCCATACAGTCTCAAATGCAACATAGGTTTAGGAAACTAATCTGGCAAACTAAAATGGGCATGCCCTATATTTGACCCTGTAACTTTCCTAAACGCCTTAAAACATGTAAATGTGGGAATCTGTTGTACTCATGAGACATTGCTGTACACAATTCTTTTCTTAGAGCAGTAAAACATATAATGATAATGATATTGGTGATTTGGCAGTTTTTGTGTAAAAATGCAAAAAACTAATATGAACACTAACTTTGGCCAGGGTTTGGGACTAAGTGGCTTCTAAAAAAGACATACTCCATTTTGAATACCCTGGGTTGTCTACATTTGCAAAGGGTATGCCAAGATGGGGGTAATTATCTCAAATGCAACATAGGTTTAGGAAACTAATCTGGCAAACTAAAATGGGCATGCCCTATATTTGACCCTGTAACTTTCCTAAACGCCTTAAAACATGTAAATGTGGGAATCTGTTGTACTCATGAGACATTGCTGTACACAATTCTTTTCTTAGAGCAGTAAAACATATAATGATAATGATATTGGTGATTTGGCAGTTTTTGTGTAAAAATGCAAAAAACTAATATGAACACTAACTTTGGCCAGGGTTTGGGACTAAGTGGCTTCTAAAAAAGACATACTCCATTTTGAATACCCTGGGTTGTCTACATTTGCAAAGGGTATGCCAAGATGGGGGTAATTATCTTTGATTGCTGCTATACAGTCTTAAGTGCAACATGAGATCAATATGGCAAATTTCAATGTGTAAAAACTGAACATGAGAAAGCTCTTTATTTGATGCTTGGTGTCTCCGTCCTTAAGGGTTTGATCTTCCAAACCTAGGTTAACGTGTGTGAGTATTACAGAAAAGCATAAACAGCACATAAGTTTAATTTTTACACGTTTTCACCAAGGTCCACACTCAACTAGCATCTCCTGTTATTGCCTTTTAACCCCTTCCCGACCAAAGACAGAAAGTTCCGTCAAGCTTGTGCCTGCGTTAAGGACCATTGCCGGAAAATTTCAGGCATTTACTAAAGTTAGCCCCAAATCACGTCGATCGCAGGGTTAACGCTCCTCCGGTCTGCCTCGGTATTCAAGGCAAACCGGGAGCACCCGATCGTGCTGCCTCCCTGTGCTTTCGCGTTCAGTGTGAAGTGCAGAGAGGCGGATCAGCAGTGGTCTTCTCCCTGCAAAAAAAAAATTTAAAGTTACAGTTAAATCCAACCCCCTCCTCCCTTTCCCCTGCTTTAATAAAATTAACCCCTTCAATTGGCAGGGACTACATTTTACTTTCATCTGATTTTTTTTTTTAACCCCTGAGGGTTTATTATATACCCTAGGGGTTAAATTTATTTTATTAATGCATTTAAATATTTGAAATTATATATTTTGCTAGCTGGGGTGGGTGGGAGTTATGGGATATTGTGGATTTACTGTTAGTGCTGCTTACTGCTAGTTAGGCGTTAACGGTAAAAAAAGTTTATAAAAAAGTTAAGAAAGTTTTAAAAAGTTTTAAAAATGTAATAAGTAAAAAAAGTTTAAAAACGAATTTGAAAAAATATTTTTTTTTTTAAAGTAAAAAAATACATTAAAAAAATGCTCATTACCACTACACCTGGAACAAACTAGAAAAAAAAAATGAGCCCACGCTAAGGTTCAAAATATGCCTTTTGAATTACCCCGGGCTGTATTCTTACAGTGCTTGTGGGGAAGTTTGAATAACCAACAAGCTAAACTACTCCAACATGGAACATGGACACAGCGTAAAACTTCAAAGTTAGAAAAAAACTGAATGGCTGCATCTC